CGGCGCGCGCGCACCGCCTTCACCTACGAGCAGCTCGTGGCGCTGGAGAACAAGTTCAAGGCCACGCGGTACCTGTCGGTGTGCGAGCGCCTGAACCTCGCGCTGTCGCTCAGCCTCACCGAGACGCAGGTCAAGATTTGGTTCCAGAACCGCAGGACCAAGTGGAAGAAGCAGAACCCCGGCGCCGACGGCGCGGCGCAGGCGGGGGGCGGCGCGGCGCAGCCGGGAGCATCGGGGGCGGCGCCGGGCAGTGGCGGTGGCGCAGGGGGCAGCCCGGGCCCTGCGGGCCCCAGCGCTCTGCCCTTCCAGACTTTCCCGTCCTACTCGGCCGCCAACGTCCTCTTCCCCGCCGCCGCCTCCTTCCCGCTGACGGCCGCAGCCGCCGCCGGGGGTCCCTTTGCGCCCTTCCTCGGGCCCCCCTACCTGACTCCTTTCTATGCCCCGCACCTATGAACCTGGAGCCCTTCTGGACTCACGAGTGAGGGGCGTCGTCGTGAGGTCCGCGCTTTCCCGACGGGCCCAGCTCACCCGGACCGCCCTCTCCGGGTGCCGGGTGCGCTCGCCCCTTCTCTCTCCGCCGCCTGGAGGCGCCACCAGAGGGCAGCGAGAAGCCACCTGGGACCGCCCGCCGCGCCCCTGCGCGCCGCGCCGACCCCGCGAGGCCACAGGGTCCGCGGAGCAGGTCCGAGATCTGCCATCTTTAAAAGTGCCGGGAGACTGAGGCTGACTTGGACGCGCGCGTTTCCGGACCGGGCTTTCCCGCTCGCTGCAGCCTGAGGTGCGAGGCTGCGGGGCCTGACAAGGCTGGGGCGATCCAGAGGAACCCAGAGCGCCCACCTGCCCACTGCTCACACCTGCGGTGGAGTCTTCCAAGACTGTGGCCCACGAGGAGGGTAAGGAGCTTCCTTTAGAGAGCTGACAGTGGCCCTTTTCCTCTTGATTGTCCGCCCAGACCCTGCGAGGCGCCCCAAATACTGAACACGGGGGCCAGGAGCACCCACTGCCGCTGGGAAATGGACTGTTCTTTCAATGTTTTTAGATTTTCATTTCTGATTCGGACTTGAGCTCAAGTCTGTGCCAAACGGACTCGGAGCAGGCTCTTCCCTCTAGAGTATAGGCCTATTTTTCTGAGAAGGCCCGAGGGACTCTGTACTGGACTTACTTGCTGCTTGTAACTTCTGAGCAGCTCTGATAAGCCCCGATGACCGTCCAAAGGCATAAAAATGACAATGAAGTTCCCGTGGCTCCACGAAAATCTGCAAGTCTGTGCTGCTTTGCAGTGGCAGGACTTCTAAGGCTCATCATGGCTGGTGGAGCGGCCAGCGGCGGGGTGCCCAACAGCAGTGGAAGCCTGGCAGGGACCTTTGCCCCCAGCACACATTCGGGTCAGGAATTGGACTACTTGTCAGAAGCAGAGCTTTGCCTAAAATTCTCATTTGGAGGCAATTCTTGTTCACAACAGGTCTCTCTGATGATGGGGAACAAAAGATGTGCTTTTGGGTCGAGGCTCACGTGGGAGCAAAAGTCCTGTCCCTAAGCTGCAGCTGCTAACTTGAGTACAGCTAGCTGCTGCTTAAAAAATCTCACTTTAAAAATTAGTTCTGTGCAGTTTTTGTACTCGGTTATTGCTTTGCTCTCCAGTACTCTTCCTGTCGCTTTCTACGTAACCTGGTTGAGACCCATCTCTGAAGCCCAGCTGCCCCCCCCCCCAGCCTCGGATGTCTCATCCCACCTTTTATTTGCTTACCTGAGTAAGTAAGTGAGAAATAGTCCTTGCTGTTATTACAAATTGACTGTAACAACCCATGGCTTCTTATAAAGTAGAAAGCACCCTGCAAATCTTGCAACTATTTCTGTTATCACTGAGATCATAGAAACTATCCCCACCCCCCACTCCCAAATTAAATGATGACTTTGTAGTCAAGTGATTTATAAGATTTGGGAATGTGTAATTTCATTTCACTTGTTAATGAGACTCTTTCTTTTAGTAAAAAAACAGTCAACCCCAAACATCATCACTCTCTAAAAGGCAGTTGATGTCAGATGAGATTAAAATGCTGTTGCCGTGGCTGAGAATAATCCTGTATCACTCTGTTTATCATTGATAAACACCCTTGATGGCAGTTGCCTGGTTTCTCAAAAACAGCACTCTTTGTTAGGAAAGCAGTGTAGAGGCAGGGTCTGTTACAGAAGACTGAATCTGTGTCAGACAGGGGGACACTTCATTCCTCCTTGGGTTGGAATCACACCGGACATCCCCTTACCTAAGAACCAGCACTCAGCCCAGCTTCCCACAGCTACTTAAGCACTGAGCCTGCAACTGATAACTCCAGCGAGATTTATGCTCTACACCGGGATACCAGTCAGATAAAATATTTGGTGGAAAAGCGTCTCTAGATGACCCGAGATCTGTCTTGGCATTTCGAGGCTATGGGAAAGTGAGCATGGGACAGGAAGGGTATCCCAGTGCTTCTTAGCTCCCTCCAGCTCCTCTTTCCTGCAACACATCCATATCCAGAACCCATTCTAGCCAACACCTGTTTTGGAAGATGGGAATTTGCTAAGCTAAGGCGTCCCAGGCATCAGGAAGATTAGAGTGTGTGTGCCTCGGTCTCCTCCAGGAGGGAGAAGAGAGTGGTCCTTTCCTCCCTCCCACACTACCTCCTGGGCCCTCAGTCTTGAACTAACTTACTGGTTTTCTCCACCTTGTAGAAGCACGTAGTGTGCACTCAGGAAATGTTAAAGTTCTTCCTGCCAATTTATAAGTGATATATTTAGTAATCCTTGGATTCAGAGCCGGTTCCAAAGAGGAGACCGCTTTTATATTGCTCTTCCAGGCAGCTGCTGGTCACATGGCGGATGTCACCTGGCCAGGAACATGGGTCCCTATCTGCACAGAAGAACTGAGCGGCAATCTTGTAACCCATTTCCTTTCATGTTCAATGAATACACATACAAGTGTAACTTGTCTCTAATACCTTTGATGGTACTTTGTTTCTAAATAGCATTCAGAGCCTAAGGTAGAGGGAGCTGGACCTCCAGAAATACTTTCAGAAACCAGACTGTAGGGTCTACAGTTACCACGGGTCTTCTTGGTGGCCTAAGGGTTAAGTCTCAGCACTATCACCACTAAGGCCCAAGTTCCATCCTCAGCCAGGGAGCTGACCCACAGGGCACAGCAGGCTTCTCCTGTCTCCCTGCTGCTCCCCTCAGCAGTGTATTTCACTAAAATCAGTCTGTTCTGCTCCCCACTCTGCCTGTGAATCCAAGCCCACCTCTGCCTATACCTCAGTTCCATGCAAAAATAAATAAAATCTTAAAATAAAAATTGAAAGTTTACTTAAATGTGATGGGTTTTTAAATAACCGGTAAAAGGATCATTTATCCCCCTTAATGCAAATTCCACCCATGCATTTTTCTAAGGTGTTCTAGTTTTGGGTCTCATAGGTGGTGGGGATACCTAATTCCTGTATCTCTATAGGGAGGATAAAAGGAACTAACTCTTCACTGTTTTCTGAGCAAGGTAGTGATTGCATCTGTTTCAGAGACATCAAATTCAAGCAGATCTCTAATCTGAAATTGGCTACCCTCTACATAGTTGCTTCAGTTAAACTGGTGAATAGCAACAAAGAGTGACTTGGAGAGACAACATGTCTTGTGTGACAAATTCACAGTAAAAATACCTTACGTGATTTCAAAAACACTTTCCATCTTTTTTTAATGGTGGAAATATTTATTATTCATTAACATTACTATTTAAACTATTTTAAAGTCTTAGACTTAATGGCACTAAGTATACCCATGATGGTCTATAATCATCACCACTATCTAGTTCTAGAACTTTCTCATCACCCCAAACTGGGACCTGTACCCGTGATTGGTTACAAAATAAAAATATACATTTAATAGGAGGAAATTGACTATAAATAGAATTGCTAACCTTTTCTTATTGCATATGCCTGTCGCTCTTTTTTAAAGATGTATTTATTTATGCATAGGCCAGAGATGCAGGGGTGAGAGGATCCACCAGAGACAGAATAGGGAGCAGAAGAGCCAGATGTATTTAAGTGCCAGATATGCTGAGGGGAGCAGTGGAAGAAACAGGAGAGGTCTTCCTGTGGTTACCTCCCTGCCCGGGGATGGGGATCAAACTCTGAACTCTGCAACTCTGCTGTGGAGAGAGCTTCACAGCGCTGGGCTTTAACCCACTGTCCCACCAGGAAGGGCCCTCCTACTGTTACAGGGCAGGGAGAGGGGGGCACCACTGAACCCCCACACCTGCCTGATCCAAATAGATTCTGCCATCCGCCGAATCAAGACAAAACATAAGACTTTAATGAGATGGAACTTTAATACAGTGAGTATACAACATGGAAGACAAAGAATATAACTTCTAAAACAAACACCTGAAGTAACCCATCCCCTCGTGGGCAAAAGTCCACCCAAAAGGGATTGGCCTGAAGCAAGGCCTGAAAGCTGCCACAAGCCTAAAGCACCTTCTGGCTGAGACCCATGGAAAAGGGTCAGACATGGCCAGACAAATCTGGGAGCAAAAGAGCAAAATCAAAATCAATATAAACACAGCCATAGTCACCTCCCTACAGGTCTCTCACCCACATCTGCCTTAGCCAGTCCAGGGCCAGGAAACAAGCCCAGTTTCTTCCTCACATGCTCGCTGCTCCATGTGGCTTCCTCAGGTCTCCTTCTGGCTCTCCATCCTGCTTCCTTCTGATTCTTTCTCTTCTCTCCTTTTTCTCTGCTCAGCTCCATCCTCCTTCTGGGAGGGGCAGGGAACCTGGAACTTCCTTTTCTTAGGGACCCCCCTGTTACACTACCTCTACACCTCATTCCCACTTTTGGAGATTGAGGTCCTGGCAGAGAGGGTGCTCTGGACACCCTACTCTCCTGTGGGGGGGGGGGTGGAGAGAGCAGGTTATTTTGCAGGTGGGGCTTCCCCACCTGACTCAGCACCCACTAGCTCTTCACTGTTTCTCTACTAGTTTCAACTGGGAAAGGCTCTTGGCCTCCCTTCTCTCTTCCCACAACCTCCCCGAACTTTTTCAGAAGTTTGCTTAACAAACTTTGCTGAGTGTGAAAAGATTTGAAATAAAATCTAGTTGCAGTGAGGGGCCGCCATAGAAATGGAAATTGCTGGCCTCCCTGGTGGTGCAGGGATTAAGTCTCAGTGCTACCAAGCTATCACCAGCCAATGTGGCATGAGTTTGATCCCCAGCCAGGGAGCCCACACGGCACAGCAGGCCTCTCCTCAGCTGTGTATTTCAGTACATCTGCCTGTTCTGCTCCCCAGTCTGTCTCTGGTGAATGCTCTCATCACCATTTTCTATCTCTGGCCCAGATCCCCCTTCTTGTATGCATAAATATTTTTTTAATTAAAAAAAAGGAAATGCTAATATAAAGGTTAGGGAGGTGGAGGCAGAGGGAGTGTGAGTGTG